TTTGAGAATTATCTACACAATTATATACACAACATATTATTTTACCCATTGGACACCTTTTTGTTTGGAAACTGTACTAGCTTGCAAGATCAAGCTTCTTGGTTACAACAGAGACAATCAAATCCACTCCTGGAACAAGTCCCTGCTGCCTAAATATGCTTTGTGCGTCCACATTTTTAAAAAAGTTTGGAAAGAAATAGCACCCATTGTGTGCACTTCCAGTAGGGCTGGGCAGTTTACCGTATTTTACTATACCGGTATTGATCCATGGACCGGTTTGGGTTTTTACTCTACCTTCATTAACTGTATTTCAATGTTTAATTTGTTAATTGTGATACGAAACTCTGGCGCGTGTTATGTCCATTTTTATAGTTTACTCCATTTGCTACTTCTTTCTCCCCTCCTGCTGCATGCCACTTCCCACACCAAGCCCTGCCCCCTGTCACTCAAGGAGAGAGCAGTTGCTCGATCACGGAGTCACAAGCAGCACTTTCTTTCCTTTCACTCTGCAGTTTTTATGGTCAGATAGATGTGACATGCTGCTTTCCACAAGCAATCTATAACTACACTATTAGTTTGTGTATCTTACTGCCTGCAAACTACTGTCTTTGCTAGTTAGTCTTTTTTCGCAAGTTGGGTAGCCGCTAGTTAGCTGGCTAGCTATCTTGCTAAATGTACTAAGTCGGTGCAAACGTAGCTGACTAATACAGCCTGGTACCAATGTTGGTGTAGGCCTAGAAAGCATGTTGTTTGTGCAACGGTATCTTCTAAGACAGAGAGGAATAGGCGAAGCATGAATATGTCAGCTAGCTACATTAAAATGTATTGGAATGTTTGCTCTATCCAAAATTACAACCAACTGATTGCAGCATTACAACAAAAATGGAGGAGGCAAGTGGAAGGGGGAGAAGGTAGGGAACTTGTTTGTCTGCCCTTTATTAAAGATTGAAATTGGCCAAATAAAAAATCGACCAATACACCAGTTTCATTTGAGGACCAAAATGTTGATAGCGACACCTTACAGGTTGCAAAATGTTCCTTGTTTCTGGTAACAGGTTCAGGAGTGGCTAAAACATCTCATATACCTGAAACTAACCCAACAAATGGCACTGTTCCGAGATTTGGAAAGCCATAGTCAATCAACAATATAATAATACTCTTCATACAAATATTTCTTTAATTTACAATCTGTAGATGCCATGTGATTTAGAAAGGTTCCAAATTTGTGAAACAGCACAGTTAAATAAATATACTGAACAAAAATAAACGCAACATGCAACAATTTCAAAGATTTTACTGAGTTACAGTTCATAAACTCAGCAAAAAAAGAAACGTCCTCTCACTGTCAACTGCGTTTATTTTCAGCAAACTTAACATGTGTAAATATTTGTATGAACATAAGATTCAACAACTGAGACATAAACTGAACAAGTTCCACAGACATGTGACTAACAGAAATTGAATAATGTGTCCCTGAACAAAGGGGGGGTAAAAATCAAAAGTAACAGTCAGTATCTGGTGTGGCCACCAGCTGCATTAAGTACTGCAGTGCATCTCCTCATGGACTGCACCAGATTTGCCAGTTCTTGCTGTGAGATGTTACCCTACTCTTCCACCAAGGCACCTGCAGGTTCCCAGACATTTCTGGGGGGAATGGCCCTAGCCCTCACCCTCCGTTCCAACAGGTCCCAGACGTGCTCAATGGGATTGAGATCCGGTCTCTTCGCTGGCCATGGCAGAACACTGACATTCCTGTCTTGCAGGAAATCACTCACAGAACGAGCAGTATGGCTGGTGGCATTGTCATGCTGGAGGGTCATGTCAGGATGAGCCTGCAGGAAGGGTACCACATGAGGGAGGAGGATGTCTTCCCTGTAACGCACAGCGTTGAGATTTCCTGCAATGACAACAAGCTCAGTCCGATGATGCAGTGACACACCGCCCCAGAGCATGACGGACCCTCCACCTCCAAATCGATTCCGCTCCAGAGTACAGGCCTCTGTGTAAAGCTCATTCCTTCGACGATAAACGCGAATCCGACCATCACCCCTGGTGAGACAAAACCGCGACTCGTCAGTGAAGAGCACTTTTAGCCAGTCTTGTCTGGTCCAGCGATGGTGGGTTTGTACCCATAGGCGACGTTGTTACCGGTGATGTCTGGTGAGGACCTGCCTTACAACAGGCCTACAAGCCCTCAGTCCAGCCTCTCTCAGCCTATTGCGGACAGTCTGAGCACTGATGGAGGGATTGTGCGTTCCTGGTGTAACTCGGGCAGTTGTTGTTGCCATCCTGTACCTGTCCCGCAGGTGTGATGTTCGGATGTACCGATCCTGTGCAGGTGCTGTTACATGTGGTCTGCCACTGCGAGGACGATCAGCTGTTCGTCCTGTCTCCCTGTAGCGCTGTCTTAGGCGTCTCACAGTACGGACATTGCAATTTATTGCCCTCGCCACATCTGCAGTCCTCATGCCTCCTTGCAGCATGCCTAAGGCACGTTCACGCAGATGAGCAGGGACCCTGGGCATATTTCTTTTGGTGTTTTTCAGTCAGTAGAAAGGCCTTTTTAGGTTTTCATAACTGTGACCTTAATTGCCTACCGTCTGTAAACTGTTAGTGTCTTAACGACCGTTCCACAGGTGCATGTTTATTTAATTGTTTATGGTTCATTGAACTAGCATGGGAAACAGTGTTTAACTCCCGTTGTCCTAGGGTCAAAATGACCCGCCACTGTGTTGAACCAACTTTATTTAATTTGTATATTTTTGGGATCATTTGTGAGAAGGAGGCAGTGAGACTTTAAAGAATGTATCACTGCCTCCTTCTCACAAATGATCCAAAAAATATAATTGTCATTTTTGTCCTAGGGTCATATAATTGTCCTAGGGTCATTTTGACCCTAGGACAACGGGAGGGTTAAACCCTTTACAATGAAGATCTGTGAAGTTATTTAGATTTTTATGAATTATCTTAGAAAGACGGGGTACTGAAAAATGGACGTTTCTTTTTTTTTGCTGAGTATTATAAGGAAATCAGTTAATTTAAATAAATTCATTAGGCCCTAATCTATGGATTTCACATGACTGGGCAGGTGTGCAGCCATATGTAGTCCTTGGGGGACATAGGCCTACCCAATCAGATTGAGTTTTCCCCCCACAAAAGGGCTTTATTACAGACAGAAATACCCCCCCATTATTTCCATGATTCCAACAGTTCACCAACCAATTAACTAGGCCTAGATGTGTTGTATCATGCAGCTCTGAGTGGCATACTGTGGAAATTATAACAGAAATGCAGAGATGGTTGAAAATGCTGAAAATATTTTTTGTTTGAAGTTGGATTGAACAGTATAAAGCAATCAGAATGGACAAAGCCCGATTGAAAGCACTTATAATGTATGTGTTGCCACCGTATGGTCATGAACTACTCATAAAGCATATTTATAACTTTTGTTATTCAGAAACATAAAATACCTTCACACTGTCCAAAATGTGAAAGATATTGTGATTATATTTTGGCCATATCGCCCAACTTCCGGTAATATCATATACCCAGGTATGGTACAGTAACGGCATGAAGGTATAAAAATCTAGATACCTCCCGACCCTACTGTAGTGCCCTGTAAAATCTGCGATACGAAGAACACGGACAGAATCACGGAATCCAGACAATAAAACGGAATTCAACAATATTCAAAAATATCTAGAACTTAGTAGGGAGTCAACTAAATGTATTGAAAATTAATTAATTTGCCCAAGTTCATCATACGACATGAACATCAGTGATTTGTATTTCCTGCAACGAGAATTCCCCATCTGTGTATGTGCGGTGTGCCCAGCTACCACTGTGTAGCCATTAGCGATGATGCTAATGAAAAATCTTCTGGTAGATGGAAAGGCTTTCCCAAAAACCTTCTCAATTAAATGTTAACTACAAAGTAGCCTAGGCTACCTGGCAGAATTATTTCATGATTATTTGCATCAATCCAGTGTGTATTTGTTTTTCAAACTCTACCATCACATGTGTGCTACGAAAACATCACTAAACAACAACAGTCTCTTGCTAGGTGTGCACCGGAATTAAAGGGTAACTACACCCAAAAGTCTAAGTTTCTCAGTTTTCCCAGACCTCGTCTCCTGATGTGGTTTAAACATGGTTGTGGACTTAGAACATCCCATTTAGTTTTTTTTCTATTATAACAAGTGTGATTTTTAGAGCGGAAACCTGGGAAAACGAAAACGGAATCAGGCAAACTCTCTGAACCTATGACCTCATTGACCTGCTCATCTGGATCGATTACCGGTCATGTGACTTAAAAGCGCTACTCGTATTTACCCATTTCTCTTCTGCATTGGTGGCACACTTTCAATGCCTCCCTACTTGACAAATTCTGGAATACTTAGAATTGAACTAGATAAACTTGATCTGGTCTATGCAAAATAATGAAACATTGCCTGAATAAATGTGTTATGATTGAAAAGTAACTAGGAAAACCTAAACACACTCGTCAGGGTTGCTGTTCAAAGGGGGTGTAGCCTACTACTGCAGTTGCCGTTTGACTCCTCACTCACCCCCATCAACAGCAGTAGTGGTCACTGCTCCTGTGCTTTGAGTTGGAGGTGGAGGTTGAGTTGCACAAGGCCTGATCAAGTTAGTGAATATTTGCTTTGCACTTCTTCACTAATTACTTACACAGTTAGAGGTGCATTATTGGGACCATTCACGTCTCTTTTAGTTGACTTCACTTTTGAGATGGTTGTTTCGAGAGGAAATGAAAACCACACAAAGTTGATTATTTTAGGACCAGAGCCCATGGTGTGACAGATTGGTGCAGTCCTTTGACTGTGCTGCTGTTATAGCACAGCAGGGGACTGGCTGCCAGTGTGACAGCACATCTAAACCACAGTGAACTTTTGAGTTAGCGGTTTAAATGTTTGAGTTGTTTCAATTGCTACTTAGGAAGCTGTTTATTTATAATGGTATTATACACACCATTTTCTATTGAAAAACCAAATGATGTTAAAATGTTTTCTCTTTATTTCCCAGAGCTGAATAAGAACCCAGTGGAGGGATTCTCAGCAGGTTTGATAGATGATAACGACCTCTACAGATGGGAAGTCTTAATCATCGGCCCACCAGACACATGCTAGTAAGTCTGCCAGCACAGTTTCACTCTGATTTTGCTGTGTGGGTGTGTTGATAAGCCAGCTGGGGAGTATGTGGATGTGGGGAGGAATTTGCTATTTGTCATGTACAACAGTTGTCCGTTCATGTCAAGATTTCGGGATCTTTTCAACTATATTCCAATTAGTGTGAACGTTTAAACGAAATTGGGATCATAACGTTAAGGGAAAAAATAAATAAAAAATCTCTCCACACTATTGAATTCAAAGGGCAGTTATCTCAAAACTACCACTAACAGGTACCGATCATCATCATCATCATCATCATAAAGGGAAAAATAACAATTCAATAAATTCCTAACGCAACAATGCTCTAACGTAATTTTAAAAAAATGTTTTGCTACTTTATTAAACGAAGCCATGCAGTGTGCATCTGTGAATGATGAGGGGAGCAGGGAGGGGGAGAGAGGGCTAGTTATTTATCATCTCATCCGATTATAGTATCTGTCTTGACTGCATCAAACTAAGAGAAGCTAATTTAGCTAGCTAACGTTAGCTAGACTGATTTGAGACTACATAACTTTAACTGTGCGCTTTCTCCCCTTCCAACTCCAGATTATTAAGTAGCAGCCTACCAGTTGGCTCTTGGTGTCGTATGTAGCCTGTCCTTCTCATTACACTTTTAGTTGTGTCATTTGAATTCCATCTTTCATTGATTAGCGTAGATATCTCCTAATAACCACACGGAGGCTCTAGCTCTGACTGTAGCCTAGTGCCGGTTTGATGACTTGTGATTGGACGACAACAAGCTACACGCACCACTCCCGTGAAAAGCAAGAGCAGCAGCATAAATTATACAATTTTCTCTAGACCATCTGCATTGTGATCATCACTGGAATTATATGCATTTTTCTTATCGTTTTAATGAAAAAAATACGATTTTTAAAAATGGCTGTTTAAACATTTAACTTTTTCTATTTGTCACATCCCTATATTCCAACCCCTGATATTTTAGCATAATGAAACACATTTCTCTCTGTCACAGTGAAGGTGGTGTGTTTAAAGCACATCTCACGTTTCCCAAAGACTACCCTCTCAGGCCACCTAAAATGAAATTTATCACAGATATATGGCACCCTAATGGTAAGTATGAGTGTAAATTCTCTTGAAATTATGAGCACTTTTTGTGTCTGTTTACTGTTGGGGAAATGTAGGCTATCCCTCAGGAGGATCAGTAGTGTTTCTCAGTAAAGTAATGATTTTTTGGAATGCACCAAAATCTTTTGCTCTGGCAGTTGTTTACACGCATGCACACAGAAACAAGTAAATCAATCTGTTCTAATTTCATGTCTCTTGTCCTGTTTGCAGTTGACAAGAACGGTGACGTATGTATTTCTATTTTGCACGAGCCGGGTGAAGACAAGTACGGCTATGAGAAGCCTGAGGAGCGCTGGCTGCCCATCCACACAGTGGAAACCATTATGATTAGCGTTATCTCCATGTTGGCGGACCCTAACGGAGACTCGCCTGCCAATGTAGATGCTGCAGTATGTCTCTTTTTTACCTGAGGGGCCAAATCAGGGGTTTGAACTCACTCTGATTAGGGTTCTTTATAAATCAACAATCTGTGGATGGTTATTTAGGACACAAGGAGTTAAAGGCACAGTGCAGTCAAAAATGTGATTTTTCCTGGGCTTTATATACATTTCCACACTATGAGGTTATAATAATATTGTGAAAATGCTGATGATGCCCTTTTTCTATAAGAGCTGTTTGAAAAGACCCTCTGAAATTTCAGCCTGTTTTGGTGGGATGGAGTTTTGATACTTAATTGTTACCTAGAATTGATTTGATATTGAGTTTAAAACGACTGCATTGGGCCTTTAATGGTATATTCCATCCTGTAGTGCACAGAATTCTGAATGTTCCAGGTTCCCAAACATCAAATGTGCCTTTGTGGAGAGCAGAAATCTGTCATCTTTCAACTAAAATGTTTTCCCCCTGCAGAAAGAGTGGAGGGAAGACCGACATGGGGAATTCAAAAGGAAAGTGGCCCGTTGTGTAAGAAAGAGCCAAGAGACTGCCTTTGAGTGATATTTATCAAACGGCTTCTAGCTTCACTTTTTCAGGGTAAGTGTAGAGGACCTTTGCCCCTTAGATCTTGTAAAAACCAAGTGTTATGATTTTGAGGAGGTCCCAATGCTATTATACTGCATCTCTGAGTAACTTATCACGCTGTTCACACTTCAAATCAAATCTGTGGATGGTTAATTCATACCTGTTGCAGTCACTGAAAGACTGCTGGAATTTTATTACAGTATATCCAATATGTGCTAAGTTGCCTGTTCTTGTCATACACAGGTCTCCAATTGAGAAACAACATGGCACTGTTTTCCTGCACTCCACCAACCTATTGCTCGGCTGGTCTTCATTGACTTTGTCAGAAACCGTTTGGCAACAATAGGCTGCAATAGAACATAACAGCTGTTACCAGATCCTGACCGAAAACTGCCAAGCAAGTGTCAACTGAAAAACAACAACAAAGCAAAAGATGAATAACACGTTTTTTTTAAAGTCTATGAACTGCTACAACTTTTCAGGAAGATATTGTAAAAACCTGTATATAGCACAGACATAAAACCGGATAATATATCAATTGTCCCTATCCATCCAGCAAGACACTTAGTACCAAATAAATAGCGTTTCTGTAGGTAGAATCTGAATCCTGTAGACTCTTGTACGTTTTTATTCCACTTCCCCCTTCAACATCTACTCTAGTGTGCATGAGTTCAGTTCTGTTACAGGTTGCTTTGACGGACAGGAGGTCTTGTAGTTGGCAGAATGGTAATAATGCAATGCTGTTGTACAATCCCTCTAATGGAGGAGAGCTGTGTTGGTTCTAGAATGACTGAAGTATCAGGCCAAAAATGCATGTATGGCAGAGGGACGTAAGGGTGCATTACACATACTGTAGCATGCTTGTCATGTTGAGTTCCGTCACCTCAGCACTTCAGGAAAAGTTGCTGTAAGTCACCATTTAACTTATGAATAAGGTTATAGATACAAGTCTTTATTTCGGATTTTAACACCATGCGGTGCTCCCCCTACCATGACGGACATTACCCCATTTGTCAAGTTCAGGTGTGTTTCTTCGGAGATGGACATAACCATTACAAGTCATGCATGCACAAATTGAACTCATAGTTATGTTTTTAATTAGTATTTTTTTCTCCAAAAGTGCCTCCTATAAATTGCCTGGCAATTGCCCCCTGTATTGAGCCAGAGTTAGTTTCAGAAAAATCTGAGAAATTGCTAAAACACCCCCTAAATGTGTGTACGACGTGTGCATAAGTTATTCTATAACATCAGGACAATGTATAATTTAAAATATTGGTTCAAATTTGGTGTAGCAATAACTTTCACCCGGTGTGTGGTGTACAGTCTTATGTTTGTTAAATATTCTGATGAGATTCGGGTGATATGGGGAGCTATTTCTCCTATATTCACCTTGATAAAGCAGATTAATTTGCAGCGCTCTATTTCCCTTGTGTGGTGTCCTAGGTAGGATTTGTTATGCATGCTTTTAACTTTAGGTTTTCTTGCTGGTAGTTTTGGGGTTTTGATTTAAAATGTGTGAGAGTGTGTGCCCTTTTCTTTTCCATCCCTCTATTCCCCTGATCCTCGATTTCCCCTGGTTTATTATTTTATACTGTCTCTGATGGACTATTGCAGTTTACTTGCCTAATGTACAAAGACAAAATACTGATGTATATTTTGTGTGTTATGTAGTGAGTTCTTCGAAAATAAGATTTTTTTCCCAATAATTGTTGGGGTGTTTTTCTTTTTAATGAAATTGATATGCAGTGTTTTGTCATACAATCAGGCATGATTGATACACACATCTTCTTTCCTAGCATGTCATTACCTGGTCCTGACCAAAGCGCCCTGCCTTGTATCATGTGGTGTCTGGCCCCTAGGTGAAACATATCATGTAGTTGTCACGCAACACATTAAGCTAGATTTAACAAGTATTAGTGACTCGTTGACATGTCCATTAACGATAGGATACTGTCATTTGGCACAAAGGTGAGACAGTAGTGTCCAATATTCAGAAGAAAGCCATGTAACAACATTACACCAAGTGAGGTTTTGGTGTTTTGATTGCCAAAGACTTATGCCGCGTTCAAGAATACTCAAATTTCTGACTCAAGAGTTTCCCAATTGGAAAGTATCAGAATCAACCAATAGGAAGCTCTACGCAAAAAAGCTTATGTTAATTTTAACTGTTTCCGAGTTGTCTCACAATTAGCCCTATCCCACATGACCCACTGGCCAGGCAGAGATCTTTGGAGAGCAGATCTGTCTATTTTTGGATGTGTTTCAGGGAGCTGTGCCAAGAACAGGCTCCAGTCTAGACAGGGCAAGGACCACTTAACCTTACTCCAGCGCAGCTCGCAAATGTCTCACCCTCTGCAACCAACCACGTATTATTATGAACGTCATTTATAACATGTAGTTATAGCTAAACACCTAATGCATGTATTTCCATAACTCTGTACAAGTGGAACTGATCTGAAAAAATATTCAGGGTAGAGTATTAATATTTTTCTTTTTGAGTCTTTAAGAAAAAAATACTGTATCTTTGTCCATCCATTCAATATCAACCCCTCTATCAATGTTGATAACCACTTCTTGTATTATCACACACACAGATTTGGAAACTTATGTGAATTTCACAATGCATATCAGTCAAACAGGGCTCCAGGCCTAAACGACATTAGCGGTCATTAATTCTCCTAACCTGCCACGTTAATTCTCCTAACCTGCCATGTTAATTCTCCTAACCTACCACCTTCCTAACCGGCTTAGATAAAATGCTACAAGGAAGCAGTGAGCAGCCACGCAAAAACGGTCTTGAGTGGCAACCAATCTGCCCAATTAGCTGTTATGTTTCCATACATCCACTTATGTTGATCCTCCCACTTATTTCACAATGCCCACTTTTAGACACTCCACGTATGCAGTTACCCATAACACCCCCCCTCCAAAAAATATATTATAATAATAATACTGTTGAAAGTTAGAATAGTAGAATACACATGGTGCAATTTAGAAATTTGGTTGTGCATCAGCAGTTTTTATCTTATGTCAGTGACTGACAGTCACTCAATTAGCCATGTCAGCTAGCAATTTTTAGATTGGTAAATTAGTCTTGCCAGCAATCTAAACTTGTAGTAATCGTTGCCGAATACCGACCGGGCACACAGTACATGTGCCCAGGGGCCCTGACCTCCTGGGGGCCCCCATTGATTTTGTTAGTCACTCTCACTCAGATATAATTTACATGGCATAAGTCTTGCCAAAATGTGTAGAATTGCAGGATATTAGCTGTACGTTTTTTCTCTCTGCCCCATGACAGCATTTGTAGATTTGCATGACATTTTTTTATAAAATTGCTAAACTTCTCTCCGCATAAAGTGTAGAATTGCAGAAAGTTTGCTTTAAAACTGCAACATTTTCTCTACTCCCCATGGCAAAATGTGTAGAATTGCAGGAAATTAACTTTTAAACTACAATTATTTTCTCTGCAGTCAAGGGGGGGGGGGCCACAACAAAGACTCGCTTAGGGTCCCCAAAAGGCTAGGGCCCGTAAGGGCTGGCTCTGTAGTCAAAGAAGCCAGTCACTTTTTAGAAAAGCCCCGACCCCGCCCACCACACATTTTTCATTTGCGGATGCTTTCCAGACAGATGAGCGATGGGCAGATTGGTGTTCGTATTGCTCAGTGGGTTTGCCTGGGCATGTTCAGTACAAAAACATTGCAGATAGGAATTTATTTTATTTTATTTCACCTTTATTTATGCCATGAATAGAACTGACATGATTCCTTAGAATCAGAGGCATGTTTGTTCTACGTAATACTTTTCTATCTGAACGTTGGCCAATGATGTGTCTGTCCTGCTTTGGATCGTGGGTCCATGAAATTGGCACAGGAGGTTGGTGGCACCTTAATTGGGGAGGAAGGGCTTGTGATAATAGCTGGAGAGGAATGGCTAGAATGGTTTCAAACACATCAATCATATGGAAACCACGTTTGAATCGGTTTCATTTATTCCATTCCAGCTATTACAATGAGCCTGTCCTCCTATAGCTCCTCCCACCAGCCTCCTCAGTGACACCAACAGAACACAACTTTGAAGAGTTTACACAAATATGAGCATTGTATCTTATATTGCAGGACTTTGACTGTGGGAAAATCGCCTCACCAGCATATTGGACATTCATATGTACAGCCTTACATCTTGGGTGAAATGAAATGGGGTATCGGCCACAGTGCTTAAATGTAATGGCAAAAATGTAGATTTCCGCCTAAATAGACATATCCAAAAGTAACTGCTTTTAATTAGCAGTTATATGATAAGGACATGCATAAACGTTGTATCATTGGAAATAAAACACCTGGGAGATAACAAGGAAATGGTCAGAACATACAGTTAAAGTCAGAAGTTTACATACATCTTAGCCAAATACATTTAAACTCAGTTTTTCACAATTCCTGACATTTAATCCTAGTAAAAATTCCCTGTCTTAGGTCAGTTAGGATCACCACTTTATTTTAAGAATGTGACATGTCAGAATAATAGTAGAGAGAATAATTTATTTAAGCTTTTATTTCTTTCATCACATTCCCAGTGGGTCAGAAGTTTACATACACTCACTTAGCATTTGGTAGCATTGCCTTTAAATTGTTTAACTTGGGTCAAATGTTTCGGGTAGCCTTCCACAAGCTTCCCACAATAAGTTGGGTGCATTTTGGCCCATTCCTCCTGACAGAGCTGGTGTAACTGAGTCAGGTTTGTAGGCCTCCTTGCTCGCACACGCTTTTTCAGTTCTGCCCACACATTTTCTACTGGATTGAGGTCAGGGCTTTGTGATGGCCACTCCAATACCTTGACTTTGTTGTCCTTAAGCCATTTTGCCGCAACTTTGGAAGTATGCTTGGGGTCATTGTCCATTTGGAAGACCCATTTGCGACCAAGCTTTAACTTCCTGACTGATGTCTTGAGATGTTGCTTCAAAATATCCACATCAT